TGACGACAGTCTATAAATAATTGAGTCTGGACCTGATGATCCAGTGATTGACATCATGAGCATCTATCCAGACATTTGGGATACCATGACATGCATCAACCAAGTCAGCCAGCCTGACCACCCATATCCCGTTAGTTGCCTCTTCTGACAAGCATGGATTGCTGAAGACCTATCCTAACCCCGATCTTAATGGGTCAGGTTGGGTGTAGTTGGATGGGTGTAGTTTGGTGTAGTGTGATGGGTTGGGTGTAGTTGGATGGGTGAAGTTTGGTGTAGTTGGATGGGTTGGGTGTAGTTGGATGGGTTGGGTTTTACTATTAGGTATTTTACTAGAAGTGTTATAGAAGTGTATTCAATGTATTCTGTCATGAAGAATGAATGAGTTATGACAATGGAATAGTTCATGTTGATAGGGGGCTTCACCTATTTGGCTGAAATTCTTCGTTGGAAATAATAAAAGTTACAAAAATAGAGTGACTAAAATACTAACGATCTGTGACAGATGTGCATGAAAAAGGGAACATATGATTTGGGAAATCACAAGATGAATACCATGAGGATAACTGGAAGCCCTGTCTGGAACAATACTGAACAAATTTAACTGCATCTTCAAGTGCCACCTAACCCCATTTCTGGTGTCCCTCACCTAATATTGCTGGAATATTGCTAAAAGTTGTATAAAACCCAACTCATTCACTCTCTTGCCTATTTCTAGATGTTATTAGTGCCTTGTGTGATCCACAGATAATCAATAATTAGATCCACATGACAGATTTGAGTTAGCAGAAAAACAACATTATCATACCTCCATGTCAGAATGATGAGACAAACAACATTATCCTACCTCCATGTCAGAATGATGAGACAAACAACATTATCATACCTCCATGTCAGAATGATGAGACAAACAACATTATCATACCTCCATGTCAGAATGATGAGACAAACAACATTATCATACCTCCATGTCAGAATGATGAGACAAACAACATTATCCTACCTCCATGTCAGAATGATGAGACAAACAACATTATCATACCTCCATGTCAGAATGATGAGACAAACAACATTATCATACCTCCATGTCAGAATGATGAGACAAACAACATTATCATACCTCCATGTCAGAATGATGAGACAAACAACATTATCCTACCTCCATGTCAGAATGATGAGACAAACAACATTATCATACCTCCATGTCAGAATGATGAGACAAACAACATTATCCTACCTCCATGTCAGAATGATGAGACAAACAACATTATCCTACCTCCATGTCAGAATGATGAGACAAACAACATTATCCTACCTCCATGTCAGAATGATGAGACAAACAACATTATCCTACCTCCATGTCAGAATGATGAGACAAACAACATTATCCTACCTCCATGTCAGAATGATGAGACAAACAACATTATCATACCTCCATGTCAGAATGATGAGACAAACAACATTATCCTACCTCCATGTCAGAATGATGAGACAAACAACATTATCATACCTCCATGTCAGAATGATGAGATCTGATTGGTTAATGTGATCCTAATCAAATACTATTTATCCCACTTGGGAGGGAAGTAAATTTCTGAGCGTAGAATAAATCCCTTGATTTTACCCCGCCATGAATAACACAGGCTGCATGTGGATTTCTGAGTGGGAGAATAAATCCCTTTTACCCCGCTTTGGAGCAAAAGGCCGCACTCTTTTTGCAATTCAATGAAAGTCATGTGACATAGCACACATTAATCTCAGCTCTATCAATTTTGAATTTGTTTTAATTGATTTACACAATGGTAGATTGAAACATGTCAGTAAGATAAATTTGTTGTAGCAGTATCACTTCACGTACATGGGGTATTTGGCGTCCCTCGTTTTATAGGACTTATGGTGTATGAAAGACTTGCAACCAACACTTCAGAAAGCTTTCAGCATCTGTCTTTATAGAAGTTTACACATAACTTATATGATCTTTCTGAAATGAAGAGCTGTGTTTGCATCAGTCATGGGAGCAGGTTCAATACATCATATCAAGACTTCTCGGATTATTTTTACATGTGTGGGGTTTGATAGCATTATAAGCAATGGGTCATAGATACATAATGTATTCATAAAATATTTGTAAATGTTATTAGACAAATTGTCAGAGATAAGATTAATGACCATGTTTATTTGCGCTGTCTGGTATCAATGTAACTGGGTAAACATTAAGTCGTTAGACAGCATGTAACGTAAACAACAGCATAGTTCATGCTCGGTGTAGGAAAACAGCTTGTGCTCATCCTGTGGCAGGCAACAGCAGCCAGCCTGCTTCCTGAAACAGGGAGGAGAAATATGAACTGCTCAACTTTTGATAGGGATATTCCGAGAGTCCAGGTGGAGACTGAATCTGACTGGCTGCTTTAGGATGTTGTCAAATGGACAGTGGTTAGTTTTGGCAAGGAACTGATTCATTTGTTTTCTTTCAACCTAAAGAAACTACTGTTCACATTTCTGTAATCTGTTGTCCTCTGATGTTTGTATCAGTATGAAAAATCTCAGTATCACTTTCACTGAGTAGTATAGTTTAGATGTTTTGGAGTGGACATTATTCTCTTACATAGCACAGTGTGGTTTCACAATTCTTTGTCAATACATTCATCAATGTTTTGAGGGTATTCATCATGTCTCTGTCTCAAAAACCTTAGGAGATTCTTTATCGAAATCCTACCCCATACACCAGTATTAAATCAGGCTGAAAGGAGGATTGGGTGGTCAGGATTTGTGACTTGGCTGACTGTACAAGATCTAGTATGGATCGTTGTTCATGATATCAACCATTGGTTTGCCTGTCCCAGAAGTGATTATTTAGAATTTGGAGTGATATGGCTGGAATATTGCTGAATATGGGGTAAAAACAAATTGCACTCACTCTGTCAGAAGAAAAGGTTAAAACAAAGTGGAAGTTAATTCACTCACAAATCACTGACAAGTACGAGTGATAACACAAGGTGTTCACATGGAGGTCCTGCCCTACCTGTCCTATACACTCTGAGGGAAGGTCAAGGTTGCAACAGTTGGCTCCTGAAAACATTCCACGACCATCAAGTCAATTATACAGTTCCCTCACAAGAAATTTGAGGATGACAACATTTTGCACAAGTCGCATGTCTTAAGGTTTCAATTGGCAGGTGTATCCTTTGGCTTGAAATGCTTGAAAGAAAGAAGCCAGCAGGTGGTTGGAAATGATACTTAGACAATGTCGGTACCTATACATTCAACAGTATATTCACATGCTCAAAGATGATTAAAGCAAGATCAACTTGTCACAGGTATATATGAGTTAGTCACACAAACCTATTAAATAAAGTATGTTTGGTGATAATTTGGCTGCTAAATATTTCCTGAGATAACTAGACTACATCATTTAAAAGACATTTCTAAAATAATCATTGTGTTAATTCATTAAGATGGCTTGGTGAAAATACAGGAACATCTGTAGCCAAGAAAGAGGACAGTAGGTTCAATATAACCTCACAATCATTTCTTTGTTTGTGGTAAGATGCTCAGCTGATACTCATTCAACAATTTTTGAACAATTAAGACAAATATATCTTTGAACATTGCTATTTTGTTTGGTTTGTTTCTCCTTATTTTCTCTAAATTTCCATATGATGAGACTTTTTGTTGCAATAGGTCTTACTTGTCTGCCAAATGCTGAATCTGAGGAAATAAAACAGATCAGTTTGTCATTAACATTTTCTTAAAGAAACTATCGTCTTGGGAAAGAAATATCATTCAGGGCAATGTATCCTGGGATGAATTCTCTTTAGTATAATGGGTAGTATATTTTATAACAGAAGATATAATTCATCTTATTCCATAGAAAATATCTTACAGTGTTTCAAATATGAGTTTCAAATGTGAGTTTCAATTTTTCCACCATGAAAATCATAACTTTTGAAGCAAGAATCATCTACTTCAACTTGACTGTGAAAATATGAAATATAAAACATTGTAGACTTTGTTTCAACAAGCTTTCTGACAGTTATTACTCAAAGAAAATCATAGATCTTCACAAAACATCTGGAAACATCTTCCCAGTATTATTCACTCATAAATCCTTCGTGAAATATGACAAAAAATAAGCCAGATTCATCCGATAAGGTCAGAAAATGACCTTCCTGCTTTTCATTAGATGAAAGATGTTCTGTGTGCAGAAAAAACAAAAGGTAGTGTGTTGGTGGCATCTATGTTGTCTGCTTTTTATTACACTTCTTGGAGTCTGAAGGCTCAGAGATTCGTTGTCCTATTTTTACATACAGTGTAGGTACTGCTGGTGTCTTCCATGTCTTCTGCCTCACTTAACACCAGAATGAGATGTTATGAGGACTAATTGTTTCATGCTGTGGCTGCTTGCCCAGTTGTAGTTATGGTAGCTTCCTAGTCTGAAGGGAGGCTAACCTCCTGGACTGCCCAGTCTGTTTACATCTGCTACACTTTTCTCAGGGAATAATGTCTGTGTTGGAAGGTTTTTGAAGAGGCAATGTGAGCATGTGCTTCCTGCATTGGTGTACAAATTTGTGCAAGGAAACTTCTTCCGTGGATATTTTTGGAAGCAATTTTGTATCCAATGTCAGGGGTTGGTGACAGCCATCTTGAAATTCCATTTGGGATCCAGTTTCAGTGATATGTGTATATGATCGTAAAGAGGTGGAATTATTAGTTATCGTTGCATAAGAACAGTAAGTGTTTTTATTCATGGATCCAGGCCAGGAATGATTATGTTATGTGTTTTGTGCTTACTCAGGTATTTTTCACGTGCACCTGTTCTGCTACTTTGACTGGTGTAAGAGTTACAAGATCACCAAACTTGAAACTTACACTTGGCAACAATCCAATAATTTGAGCCAAATCACTGTTGTCATGATAAAAGAAACTTGAAGGGTTTGATTATATGTAAAATAATTCATGCATATAATTACTTTTAAACTGGTCCAACCTATTTTAAATTCCAGCTCCAAAATATTCAAATCAATGAAAATGTGATCGAGGATGACCGGAGATTTGAACTTTGGTATGCAGAACCCACCTCTGAGAAACTAACATTCCAAGCCAAGAATATTTATTCTAAGCAAGCCTGGATCAGGGAAATTAGAGGAGCATTGAAAAGATTAGGTAAGTAATAGACAGAGTTTAAAAAAATTGTTATTAAAGAAAATTGTTTTCATTGCATGGTTCTCCCTTTCAGTGATATATCAACATATGACGGTGACATTAAAGGGCAACAACACTCCAGCTTTGAAAGTATTGAAATATGGATGGCTTTTTTTCTATAAGCCATTTTGGTTTGACATGCGTTCAGCACTAATTGGCATCTGGTGATTACGTGTGCTAATTAAAGGGGCACATGCAAGATGGCTGTGTGTTGGGGTATTGTGAGGTTTACTATAGTGTCTTGGGACTCCTGAATCTTTACCTTTCTAAATTATTGATAGGCCAAGGACCTTCCATGCATAATTTCAAAATCATGCATTCAGTCTCCTTCAATTCCTCTTCTTCCCCTGTGCGTTTTAAAGGAAAAATAATTATCACGAATACCTCATATAGTTGTGTCAATGCTAACTTATTTAAACTATTTAGAGTTTAATCTGTATTTAGTGAAACTATTGCCAAATTGGTAAGATGTAATATTGAAAGATTATTATTTGATGTTTCATGGTATATTTCAGAGAAATGATGATGTCACTTTTAAGAACTGTTCTTGTTTGAATGTTATACAGTTTTGTATTGGTATTTAGGAAATATATCTATAGAGGTAAAAAGAAAAGTAATATTGTTCTTAGATGACCTGTGCTAAATGTGTACCAGTACTCACAATTAAATTGACCTTATTTAACAGAAGATTTAGATGTTTCATTTTATGCTGTATCTGTATGATAATTGATGTTGTAACATTGTATTGCTAACCCAGTTACTGTGCTGGGTAATTATAATTTCCAGTTACAGACTCCTTACTCAGGGTCCAATAAGTATATAACCCTTCCCAATGATAACAGATATTTGAAGAAACCTTTCTTACTTAGAGTCTAAGGAGCAGTGTCAATTATCTTTTATATTATAAGGAGTTTAATATCTTTGAAATATTTCATTTCTCATTTGAAACAGTCACCTTTTTAAGAATTTAGCCTTGGTTTAAACTGTGGGGCTCCTTCGTGACACACATACATGTTCCTCCACTTCTGTGTCTTGACATCGAGTTGAATGATGAAATACCACTTCACAAAGACACACACCAAGACAACCTATACTTTAACAGTACTCTATGTTTTATACAGATGTCAGAGATGTTAACTGTAGAAGGAAACCAGTCAGACTTGGCATGCCTGCACCTATTGTCATCTGCAAAAATAATCAGTTAAAATGAGGGCCTTTTATTTGATTTACAGACTTTTACTCCATAACATTGGGTTTATAAATGAAAATAAAACTTTGAACAATGGTTGTATCAAAAGTGATCTCTCAATAGTATGGTCAGTTGGGTGATACAAGGGGGAAAAAAGAATAAAAAGGGTCTTTAAAGATGACAAATAAAACTGTTTCCTTCCTTCCCTTAATGCCAACTTTAATTTTTTTGCAAACAAATTTTTTATTTCCCAGACTATGACGGAAGGAAAAAATAGTCACAATGATAAATTCTATTCTATATTGGGGAGAATTTTAAGCTGTAAACCAAGGAAAGAAACAAAAAAGCCTGAGCTCCCTCGTCTGTAAGTGTCTGCGCTGGAGATATGGATCAGATGCCGGTGATAAATATATTGCGATATAATTACTGCAGACTCCTCCTTGCAAGGCTGACTTCCTGCTGAGTGGACTCATTTGTTGGATGTTAGGATGGAGAACACATGGTGTGTTATGTAATAAACTACTCTGCTTACATGCTAATTAATTACTTTAATTTGATTTTAAAGTTGGGTTGATGCACCTGCTGGGATAATTTTTTCAATATCATGTTTGAATTTAGATGTGTTATATAATTATTATGATGAAATAATTAGGCTACAAGTTGCAGGTGAGATGTTCAGGGAAAATGTATACTTGAAATGTTTGTCATTGTACCTGATTTTAGTGTCTTGTTTTGATTTTAATTTGTGTAGTATGGCTGTGTTTGAGGTGTTCAACTGACTGTTGATCATGTGGGCACTTATCATAAACATAAACAAAGTGATGAACATGGAGTATTTTGAAATAATAATACATGGAGGAGAAGCGCACAAACAATAGTTTCATGAATACTGGCTTTGAAGTTCCTTAAATAATTCCAAATTTAAGGGAAGGGTTTGCGTAACCACAGCCATAGACAACCTTATTACCAAAAAACATTGTTCATGATGTGTGCAGAGAAACAGAGCTCTTGCAACAGCTCCTAATGGAAGGGTCTATCATTGGAAACGAAATTGATGATTCAGAGATAGTTGTTACTCGAAAATAATAAACTTAAGTAACAATAGGATGACAGCCCGGGAAATGTTCTTAACATCTGGCATGCCTTTCAAAGGAACTGAAAGGATGCAATTTTAGTTTTAAATCTTAATATAATAGAGAAAAAGTAACAATCTTCTGTTAATTGCATATAAATTGCTGTATACTGAAGATATGTGTGATTCCATTGTAACTGCTTTTGTTTCATGTTTATCATGTAGGTGGAAAAGTCGATTCTGGTGCAATGATTGATGCGAACTATTTTTCTAATGAAGCATCGCATTCATACAGTATCTATAACCTAGGATATATCTGACATGATTCATATCAATGAAATAAAAAATAATAATAGTTGTAACCAAAGAGCATTTTTGGAAAGGTACCAGCATTCCCTGAAAGTCTATTTCTGTAAATGGGAGAAAAATGATGAATGTCTTGTATTCAATGAGCTGCCTAACTTGCCCAGATAACACATTTTGAAACATGTGGTCATTTGCATTCCCTTAACCTTAATCATATGTGTTAATGAGTTGGATTACAAGGTGGGTAATTAGTTGAGTGACAAAGAAGTCTCACCAGTACATATATGTGTTACACAACTATTGGGGGACAGAGTTCCTTGACACAAGGGCAGTTCCCCAAGTAGGCCCTGAGCACTCGTCAGCATTACGTGTGTTTTTGCCCTTGTTTCTGTTAGGTAAGATATCTTCTTTATCCATCACATGAAAAACATGCTTGACAATATTCCAACAGTTTATCAGATTGTTCTTGAGACAAAACAAACACTATCATTTCGTGGTCTATGTGGATGCCTCTAAAATATTTCTCTGAGTTGGCCTGTTTTTACTACGATGCTTGGAATGATTAACAACAAAGTTTATTTATCTTCATATGAATGATACTAATTACTAGGAAAATACAGCTGATAAAACAGAGAACAAATATGCTTTCATATAATTCTAGGACTGTTGTTTATTCCTGCTGTGATATAACGTTAACTGAATAGACATTGACAGAAACCAATTCTCATCATGTAAGATTGTGTTAATCATCAACTGTCTTGCTTCTGCTTCACCAGACAATATATTCTAAATAATGTTATTTCTCTGGAAACAACAGAAACCTGTCTAGAATCAATGGGTTGTATAAGTTTTGACGAATGATATAAATTCTTTCCAACATTCTTCTGTACTAGTTGTGACAAATGGTTTCTATCAGATGTGTCTATATTTGAGTTAGCAATTTGTTAAAGGAATAAATTAACTGTTATAAAATTAAGCAGACATTGGCATGAAGATTAACCACTGACAGTAATTTCTTTACAGATATTTCAGTCCCCTTAACTGAGCTATCATTTAATTTTGAAAACAATGTCTACAACTGAATATGTTCCTTGTCTTAATCAGATATGGTCATACCTAGAGCTATTTCAAATTCAATAACAAGCAATGTCTTTTTGCAAGAAATGTAATGCAATGATATTATTATTGTATAAATAGTTGTTTTTTTTATACATTTAATAACCTTTAGAATGAGAGATATTTGAAAATAAATATATTTGTTATCATGCAGTTCTGTGCCAAGATGTGGGTTCGAATCCCAGTTCACCCTGATTATGTTTCTAGGTTTGTCAGCACCATACTCTTGGTCGTTAGTTTCACCGAAGTGGTAAACGTCTGAGCCTCCCTCCCATATTAAGCTGACAGGCCATGATATAACTGGAATACTGTTAAAAGCAGCGTTGAACCCAACTCGCTCACTGTGCCAAGAATATTGTAATAGGATAAATATTTTGAAACCTATAGTCCATGTATCTCTGCAGCTGTTACAGATAAATTAAAAGAAATAGTAATACATGCATGATGCCAAACTCAACCTTGACATACATATTTGAAGAATATTCTACTAATATGTTATAGCCAGTACTGTCCAATGTATTTCTTGGCAGAGCTGACAGACAAATATTTAGAAAATGTAAATGTCAGCTTAATGTGGGAGGAAAGCCCGAAGTAATGCAGGTCTCAGACGTTTACTACTTCGGTGAACCCACAAGCATGGGTATGGTGCTGACAAACCTAGAAACATAATCGGGGCGAATCAGGATTCGAACCCACAATCTAGGTTTCTGGCATTCCCAAGGGACGCAACTCTGCACAGTGAATCATGGCGCCTTAGACAACTGGGCCACCCGTGCCCTCTAATGAAAAAAATAAGACTAATAAGTAGAGTTGTTGAATCATTGAGTTCAAGGTCAGAAACAAATGTTCCAAGTATATCACAATATGACTGTTACTGGTCTGGTGGTATAGTAGCATTTAATCATGGTTTAAGTTATCAGTGAATTGTAAAGTGATTGTGGTTAATTTGATAAAGTATATAGTCTACTGTTTCTGATTTCAATTTGAAAAAGAGAAACACAACAAATATTTATTTTTGGTAGACCCATCTTTTTATATTGGAAGCAGCTAGTATAGGTGGTTTATACAATTGTACAGTTTTGGAGTGGTTCATGAAATCTCTCTGCAATCTCACAAAAGTAAATTCAGTGTTTTGATTGCTTTCTTTTCATCTCATGGTGCCTGTTAACTTGGTGGACCAGCATTACTGTAGGTTATTGTGAATTGTGGGTTGGTTTGGAACATTAATAACAAGATAAGTGATATATTCAAACCTAAACATTATTTACTTAGACACACAGAAAACTTTTAACTTGAAATAAATGACAAGGAAATGATTTGATTTGTGGGTTTCACCAAAGTGGTAAATGTCCAAGACCTGCATCACTTTAGGCTTTCCTCACATAGCAAGCTGACATGCCATGATATAGGTGAATTACTGTTCAATATTGCATTAAAATTCACTCACTCACTCACTCACTCACTCACTCACTCACTCACTCACTCACTCCACACTCACTCACTCACTCACTCACTCACTCACTCACTCGTAAAACTCTTGTCAGATGATATTTCTTGGTGAGTTCCTATAAAGCGATTCATCTGTAACTATTTTTAACCCCCTTTACCACTCGTAGGTGTTGAAGACACAGACATCATGCCAGAACGACGTTCCAATGCGGCATCTCCATCCAAAAGATCCAACATGGAGAATGGCGACATTGGTGACGAAGTTGACAGAGGTGGAGACAGTGGCTCTGAGTCCGACAGAACACAAGGTAGAGCATGAAAAATAATGTTTAAAAGATAATATAAGAAAAGAAATCTTTGAATTGTTTTAAAAACCCTGACAAAACCCTTTCCTGATTCACAAGAAATCTCTGCCAAAAGCAGGGTCATTTGTACAATTCCGATTATAGCATTAGTAAATAGTTGTTCATGGTTTCTGTCTGGGTCAGTTGGCTGCTAACAGCCTTAACCAATGATCAGAGTAGATTGGACAGCAAACAAACTGTCATGCACAAAAGAGTCACAAAATAGCATCCTTGCCTATAATGTATTAATGCAATTGACCCAAACCAAATCGTCGAGTTGTAATTGTTTTATTTTTTCTTATTGTTGAAGGAACAGATTGGAATAATCTCTAAGGACCTGTTCCACAAAGTGTTTTTAGTGCGAAGATAATTTCCACATGTTAACCGTGACTTATGACAGGCCTAAGGCCCAAATTGATTTGTGGAACCAGTAGGTAGTACCAGTGTAGTGTTTGACTGCATATTATGATACCAATTTTAACTCATACCTCCTGCATTATACCCAGGAAAAAACATGTTCTTGAAATGACAATTTTTTCTCTTTGCAAATTTGAATAACCTGTAGAAATGAAATTGAATCATAAAACATTATCTTTTAACTTTGGAATTAATATTTTGTTTTCATATTTCCTTCATTTCATTCCAGACTACGTCTCCCTGAGCTCCCTGGACACCGATATGAGCAGCTACCACACTGCGCATGAGTTCGAGGACGGATCCACCCAACCTTTCTTCAAACGCCGCCCAAAGAAGATTGTCTGTACAGGTGAGAGAGTTCACATGCAGCATAGTCCATGCACTCATACTTGCCATTGTTTCACATGTGGAGGGAAAAACCTCTGCCAGTGAGATCAACTCTGCAACAGTCAAATGTTCCAACAAAGACATTGCATTCTTAAGGGTGAGGGACAAGGAAACATGTATGTTGTCAGGTGTCAGGAAAGCACTCTGCCAGTGTTGTAGAGAAATATTACCTTTGCCATAGTTATGTAGTTATGCCAAGACATGAGTAACTGATGATGTAGGTGTTTAGGATGATTGTGAAGTTGGATAACATCCTGTCTAAAGTTATCTCCCTTGGACTGTCTGTTTAGTGTGTAAGTTTGTGTCATCACGGGAGAAATTTCATTGAAAAGTGTGAACAAAATCTCAGTATCAAGGTGTCACTCAAATTCAAAGGCTTTGTTCCTGGGTTTTCTGTATGACATAGCCATATCAAAATAGGTCATCAGTACCCTATTTCTATCACCCTGTAAAGATTCCAGGGCAGAATAGGTCCTCTGTACTCTAGGCTGATTACCTAGTATGAATTTCTGGGCATAATAGGTGCCCTGTGCTCCATGTTTGTCACCAGTAGGGATTCCAGGCAAACTAGGTCCCCAGTACAACATGTTTGTCACCAGCAGGGATTCCGGACAAACCAGGTCCCCAGTACACCATGTTTGTCACCGGAAGGGATTCCGGGCAAACTAGGTCCCCAGTACAACATGTTTGTCACCAGAAGGGATTCCAGGCAAACTAGGTCCCCAGTACATCATGTTTGTCACCAGAAAGTATTCCAGGGAAACTAGGTCCCCAGTACACCATGTTTGTCACCGGAAGGGATTCCAGGGAAACTAGGTCCCCATTACACAATGTTTGTCACCGGAAGGGATTCCAGGCAAACTAGGTCCCCAGTACAACATGTTTCTCACCAGAAGGGATTCCGGGCAAACTAGGTCCCCAGTACAACATGTTTCTCACCAGAAGGGATTCCAGGCAAACTAGGTCCCCATTACACAATGTTTGTCACCAGAAGGGATTCTGGGCAAACTAGGTCCCCAGTACACCGTGTTTGTCACCAGAAGGGATTCCAGGCAAACTAGGTCCCCAGTACAACATGTTTGTCACCAGAAGAGATTCCGGGCAAACTAGGTCCCCAGTACACAATGTTAGTCACCAGAAGGGATTCCAGGCAAACTAGGTCCCCATTACACCATGTTTGTCACCAGAAGGGATTCTGGGCAAACTAGGTCCCCAGTACAACATGTTTTGTCACCGGAAGGGATTCCAGGCAAACTAGGTCCCCAGTACAACATGTTTCTCACCAGAAGGGATTCCAGGGGTAACTAGGTCCCCAGTACAACATGTTTGTCACCGGAAGGGATTCCGGGGAAACTAGGTCCCCAGTACAACATGTTTCTCATCAGAAGGGATTCCATGCAAACTAGGTCCCCATTACACAATGTTTGTCACCAGAAGGGATTCCGGGCAAACTAGGTCCCCAGTACAACATGTTTGTCACTGGAAGGGATTCCGGGGAAACTAGGGCGCCAGTACAACATGTTTGTCACCGGAAGGGATTCCGAGCAAACTAGGTCCCGAGTACATCATGTTTGTCACCAGAAAGTATTCCGGGCAAACTAGGTCCCAAGTACACCATGTTTGTCACCAGGAGGGATTCCAGGCAAACTAGGTCCCCAGTACATCATGTTTGTCACCGGAAGGGATTCCGGGCAAACTAGGTTCCCAGTACAACATGTTTCTCACCAGAAGGGATTCCGGGGAAAGTAGGTCCCCAGTACACCATGTTTGTCATCAGAAGGGATTCCGGGGAAACTAGGTCCCCAGTACACCATGTTTGTCACCGGAAGGGATTCCAGGCAAACTAGGTCCCCAGTACAACATGTTTGTCACCGGAAGGGATTCCAGGCAAACTAGGTCCCCAGTACAACATGTTTGTCACCGGAAGGGATTCCAGGGAAACTAGGTCCCCAGTACACCATGTTTGTCACTGGAAGGGATTCCAGGGAAACTAGGTCCCCAGTACACCATGTTTGTCACCAGAAGGGATTCCAGGCAAACTAGGTCCCCAGTACAACATGTTTGTCAGCGGAAGGGATTCCGGGCAAACTAGGTCCCCAGTACAACATGTTTCTCAGCAGAAGGGATTCCAGGCAAACTAGGTCCCCAGTACACCATGTTTGTCACCAGAAGGGATTCCAGGCAAACTAGGTCCCCAGTACAACATGTTTGTCACCGGAAGGGATTCCAGGCAAACTGGGCCCCAGTACAACATGTTTGTCTAGCAATTATGTCTTCTTATTTTGCTGATGTTGTAAGTCAAGAGACAGGTGGAAAAACATGGAGCCAGATTTGATTTGAGGTTAATTTTCAAACAAAAGTATATGTTAAATGGATATATGTTTTTATCACATCAGTTTAGTTTTTTGTTTTCTTTTCCAGAATTAATAGTTGCCTCTTAATTAAAAAACTAATATTGACTTCCTTCAGGTAGGTTAAACAGTATATATCTACAATATACTTACAATTAACATGGATAATTCCAGTAATCACTTCCATGAGGTACCGGTAATCCACAATACCATTTTAATTAGAACCAACCTGTGGATAGCAGACCCTAGCATTTGCTAACTTTTCTTCTTATTAATCACTGAGAGAAACGCTTCCCAAAATAGCACTGTAATATAAGCTGTTGCTGGAAAAAGAACACGCAGGCTAAGTTTAAAGTGTTATGACTGGTGCTTGGAGCAATGTATGGTCTGTTTAAAGTAAATGGACTGACATGCATCTGTAGAACATACAGATGTACAACTTTGTATCATGGAAAACAATACTTTACTTGACCCAGTAAATTAAAATGCCCATTTTGGTGACCAGAGTTGTGTCCCTTTGGTGGAACAGAAACCAATGATCGTGGGTACGAATCCCAGTTTACTCTGATTATGTTTCTAGGTTTGTTAGTACCATAGCCATGCTTGTGAGTTTCATCGAAGTGGTAACTGTATGTCTTGGACCTGCATCACATCCGGCTTTCTTCCTTAACTTCAAGCTGACATGTCGTGATATAACTAAATACTGTTCATAATACATGTCGTGTTAATTTGGGGCCTAAAAAGTCCTATGGGATTCATGGTCTTGCCATAGTCCCTTGGTCTTGCCAGTATCTGCTAGTGATGGGATTGAACCCCAAATTAACCCTGATTATGTCCATACCTACATGCCGTACCTCATGAGCTGGAACCTCGGAATATATATATGTTCAAAGCAGTTTACCAAGATCTCCATCTCTAAAGTAGTGCATTCAGAAGTAGTCTCTTAATTATTTGGTTTACAGATTGTTTTTCTAAAACTCAAGGGTTGGTGGTCAAAGCTCTGAAAAGTAGAGTCAGCCAGGTGAAGTTAAAAAATACATGAAAATATTTTTTTAATGACTACTTAGAGGATTACTTTCCTCCTCATATTGACCTACTTTGAAGTGTTTTTATTGTGGAAATTAATGAAATTTTAGGCAGGTGGACAGTAAACAAACATTTACCGTACAAGGAAACCCACTTTAATTGATATGGTATTGAAGATTCATTCCCAACTGGTTGATTTATAAAAGTGGTATAATCATATAACCTTCAAAATCATATACATAGAGATCAGATGAGATTATGTTCAGTTACCAAACTATGATGATATAAATGTTTAAACATTATGAACTACACAAAGGTTCACTCTGATATCATGAAATTCAACAAACACCAGGTCTGACAGGGAGTGTAGGAGGAGATTGAAGTTTTCTGAAACAAATCAAAACAAAATACATGAACACACAAAAATTCTTTGTAAGTGGATATGAGATCAGATGAGATATGAGATCATGTTTAGTTACCAAAATATGATGATATTTACTTTCAAACATAATGATCTACAGAAAGGTTCACTGATTTCATGAAATGAAACAAACACCAGATCTGACGTTGGGTGTAGGAGAGATTAAAGTTTCTGCAAAACAACAAAACAAAATACACACAAAAAGACTTGAAACAAATACATTTTCCATCATAATTCAGTTTCAATAAACATTCAACTTTCAAAACTGGATGATCAACACTGATTTCATGAAATGCAGCAGCCCTGACTGAGTGTGGGAGGAGACTGAAGTTTTCTGAAACAGACTATTCATGTATCATCTTGCCTGCCACCAAAATTCCACATGCTCATCTCTGGCTGCAAGACTTCTGTCTCTTTAGTTGAACAGTAAAAATAACCCAGGTGCCAGCTCTGCTTGCCTGCTGCAGCAGCCTCTTGCCCAAGGATACATTAATGGCTGGCCACACTGACACTAACTGACCCAGGACCTGACCAGTGGCTGGTAAGAGGAGTTTTGGTCAATTTTAAGTCTGAAGTTAAAATTTTGATATTTTGTGACCCCTGCTGGCAAGGTTGTGGGAGGGAGGGATAATGGCTGTACATATAGAGGTGGCTAGTGCTGGTTTGTGGGGGTCATGGGTGCTGGTGATTAGATCTTGACATGTTTGCAGGTCGTTCTGCTGGAGTACCTCCATGTAGCTTCACTGAGGTACTGGTATGTTCAGGTAATCATGTATTAAGTCTTTGATAGGCATTTAGAAGTTGGAATAACATAAAGACATGTAACTTTAATGGATAGTAGGTTCTTATTTGTTTGTAACAATGTTCAAAGTCAACTTCTTGCCCCTTTATCTAAATACTCAGTGAATATTCATGTATACTCAGTGAACACGTAGTGAATACTCATGTCTTTATAGCTATTTGTTGCTTCTCATGTACAGATCTGTATATACAACCTGGGTTAGCAACTTTTTGTATATTTATTACCTTCTGCATCATGGTCAGGATATATCTGAGAGTTTATGGCAAGATAGTGTGTATCAAGTTTCGTTGCCAATTCCATTTTGACATTACCAAGGTACTGATAAATCCTGTGAGGTTTTATAGATGGGGCAGTGATGAATA